CAGGAGGGCACTCCTTGTGATGAAGATGACGATGACGTGGAGGAGCTCCTCCAGGACCCCCTACAGCGACTCTTTGGCATGGCCAGCCAACCCAGCGCGCCCGCTTCACCAAGAAGAACGCCAGTCCGTGCTCAAGCTAGCCCACCTGCACTTCTAACGCAGCCACCTCCAACAGCGACAAGGGGAACCTCCTCTGCAGCCTCTTCCAGCTCGGCTCCGCTACGATCCAGCCCGGAGACAGGGGAATCGACCCTACCACAGAAACCACAGCCAGAATGGGTACTTCCCCCGCCTGTCAAGCCCAAGCCAAAACCAAAGTCGCCTGGAGTCCTAAGGGGACTGACCCCTTTGGAGGCCAATGCAGCACCTGCGGTCCCGATACAAGGACCTCTCCTACGAGCCCAGCGGAACATGGGATCTGACATGCCGGTGGAGCACGTGAGGGAGAACTTCCTCGACTATGCGAATAACGAGCCCTTCTACCAAGGGGGGAACCCCGAGCAGGAGACGACTGACCTCTTTGACACCAAGACCGGGCCCAACGTTGCGGTAGAACACCAGGGGGACTTCACCTGCCACGACAACGTCACCGTGCCGCAGCGGGGACTCCACCCCTCAGAGGACATCTTCGAAGACGAAACTTATGTGGCCGGGGGGAGTTTCCTGCTGCTCCAGCCCCCCGAAACTGCTCAAATGACGATGGAGCACAGCTATGAAGAAGATGCAAGGCACTTGGACCAGCTATACAACTACAAGGAGGACATGGACAAGGACGTGGACGAGGACCAGAGCATGCAGAACGACGGGGAAGTCCAACCCGACAATGAGGAGGGAAGTGAACGTGATGATGCAGACAGGGGGGACCCCTCCGACCTCCTGAGCCTGATGGAGCTCCCTCAGCCCTTACCCCAAGACAGCGACGCCGACTCCAACAGCTTCTTGAGTCGGGGAGACTAACCCGCCTGGCGGACCACGAGAACGATGCAGACCTTTGGGGGAGATACAGGCGTGAAAGTAAAGACGCCTACAGAGCCCAAAGGAAGAAGCAGCGACAGGCCGGAGAGCGATCTCCGGATAAACAACGTTACCGGAAGAGGAACTGAGCGCTGCTATAAGTGAGGCATGCACCGGCGACCACCTCGGCCGGGGGAAAACCCCCCTTTTTCTACTTTTGAACTTCCTTGCCATAGAACGGGGGAACCCGAGAGCTTTGGTTAGTTGGTCCTGCTGTGGGGTTCTTGTTCTTGGGTTTCTTAGGCCTTGTCTTTTGTTCCAGGTTCCTCTTTTCTCTAATTGGGGATCAGCAGGCACACATCGGCACGAAAAGTGCCGGCTTCTCCAATGAATCCATTTGAATGTAGGGGGGTCTCCCCCCATGTCCCAATGTGCATACTTTCTTATTTCTGACGGGCCGCTGGAGCCAACCCCACTCTATCCTACAGCTTCCGACTGAAGCGCATGTACCATAGCGTTGAGGGGGTATCCCCTTCACCTCAACTTGTACTATACCTTGACGGGCCGCTGTGCCATCAACTACGCCTTCCTCACCGAGTGCAATTTTTGTCCTGCTGACTTTACTGTACTTTCAAATGCCTGCTGAATGTAGCCTTGATCCCCGAGTGCCATATTTCCAGGAGTGTGTCCTGAGGCCACCATCCGAGGCGAGCCTCGATGCCGCAGTGCCTCAGGGGAATAGCCCCTGCTCTTTCAGTTCAGGTTCGTTGTCTTCGGTAGGTTCGGCGGGGGTCTTTCGGGGTCTTCTCTTGTTTCTTGGACTCTGATACAGAAGCTGAAGGAGAACGTGGCACGAACTGCAGTAGTTTTCTCCGTGCTGACAGTGAGTTGCGGTTGAGGTGCGACAGTCCTTCCTTTACTACGCTTGTCGTTTTATGTTCACGGTAGTTCTTACGGGCGCAACTGTCTGTCGCAGACCACTTCTGCCTTTCTGTTGCATGAGCATCTCACCTTTCGCTCCCCACATGTCGGGGGCGCTAACGCGCGCGGGTGAGGGGGGCTCGTCCTCCCTCCCCCCTAGCCCTGCAGAAAGAAAGAGATGACACTTCGATGGGTGCTTCTTTCAGGCCACCCATCGACGCAATATAGCGCAAACCCTGCTTGTCATGCTTGTCCTTCTCGACTGCCGTCCATTTTGTGCGATCCCTGCCTCGGTGGTGTGTGCACGCAGAGTTCAATGGCTCCCGCACCTGTCGGGGGCGCAGTTGCGCGCGGTGTAGGGGGAAACCCCTGCACCACAGCCCTGGCGAAAGAGAGAGAGATGACACCCCCACAGACCGAACACGGACGCACTGGCGTAGCGCTTGCGCGCAGGGGCTGGGGGAATTGCTTTCCCCACCTCCAAACGCCGAGCAAGCAAGCAAGCAAGCAAGCATGATACCGTGGTGGTTGTGAGTTCGGTCGGTAACGATTACTTGTTGTTGTTTTGCCGGAGCAGCAGTGCCAGCAGATGCATGCGAGTCTGGGACTGTGCCTGGCTTCGTAGCTCGACGAGAGGATACTCTGCGGTGCGCTCAAGTCAGACACACCTGGCGCCAAGCCGCCAGCCAGCCGGAAGCTTTGGTGCGGGTACTGCATCTTCCAGGCTCCTGGAATTCCAGAATCATCGAAACAGACTTGGGCGTCCGCGCGCTCTTGTGTGTGCGCGTTTGTGCGTGTGATTGTGGGTGTTTCTTTGTTGATTGGGAGGTGACGATGGTGATTCAACTCCGGAAGGCCTTCGTAGACTGCTGGGCAGAGGCTGCCTGAAGCATGTGGAGTTGGTGGAAATTGCTGGCGGATGATTCTTGGCCCAACTTCTGTGCATTTGCTAGGGGGCAGCCTGAAAGGTAGCGCTATGTTTGCTTGCTGCCCATTTGAGGCAGCTGGTTCCCTGCACTTGTTGGAGAGCTGCCGGACTTGCATCAGCTTCGAGTACGCGGAGCCTGCAGCAGTCCGTGCGGGGGGAGGCTCGGCCAGTACGGCAAGTATATTTGTCGTGCGTGTGTGTGTGTGTGTCATTGTGTGTCTCATCGTGCTGCGCCTACGGCACCAGTCCTCGCCTCAGGCCCAAGCTTGATGTGGACCTGGCCTTGAGCAGCCTGGCATGACTTCCTACCAGGTTCTACGCATCAGACCAGCAATGTCTCAGGCAATATTCTCGCGGTCTCATCGCGGCTGACAGTTCTGGACTTCAGCTACGACGGTTTTGGTCCCTCGAGTGCACTATGTCATTGTGTTTGACAGACATTGTAACTGCATGTCTAACAGCAACGTACTGCTGTGCATTAAAATCAATAACTAATGCAACAACTCTCTTTATTTATTCTATTCTCATACTACTGACCCCACGTGTGCAGTTGTGCATTCAGCCGGCATCGTGTGCTGCGTGCTGGGCATACCGATCTTGTTCAGCAGACGAACAGCTTTGCTTGCTTTCGGCTCTCCTGAGCTGGTCGTGCTAGCACTGTGGTCGTGGCCCAACAGTCAGAATCGCCTTCGCTGCATGGCCAACCGCACCATGCAAGGGTGTTTGTCCGTCTCGACCGGCTACCGCCCGCCGAGTTGGACTGCCCATCGCGCAACCCGGCGGGAGGTGCCAAGTGAACCGTGATGGGCGTGCGGGCACACAGTATTGCTCTCGAAGCCCCCCCCTGTTTGAATCGCTGGCGGATCACGCGCTCCTCGTCCCTCAGACAGATTCTGTGTGCGGTGCCATGCTCCTGGTTGGAGAAACTGTGGCTGGAAGTCTCACAAGGTGAAGGTATAATTTAAGCCGGGCCGTCCAGCTACTTCCGTGCATGTGGTCTACTCGGTTTGTCTCAAACAACGTGGACGTTCTGCTTCGTGTGTGTCAAGCATGCGATTTGCTGCGAGCATGACTGTCACGTAGGACAGCTTGCAGCAGGAAGTTGTGATGGCATGGGCGCAAGCAAGGGAGGCGGCGCCGCTGAGTTTGTATGTGGTTGCGAACCTGCGGCGGGCCTCGGGCAACGAAAGAATTGTCGTAGGCACCGGGCGCCTTCATTGACGACGGGTAGCGGTGTGAGCCACACTCGGGGCTCCCTTGTTTAGGCGACATGTCGAAGTTATGGGCCGGTTCTGCGTTGGATGCCAAGTTGACGGCAAGCAACAGGCGTACGAGTGTGACCGATCTCCTGCTGTGGGGCCTTGGACTGAGTTCTTGCCTTGGCAGCCCGGAACCGTGGTCTTGCCTTAGGTTTTGTGATGTTTTGTGTGTCTCCCGGGTAGGTGAAACCAGTCGTGGCGGTGTTATGGGTAGGTTGAGCGGCTGCGGCGCCAGGGACGGCAGGCTTTGTTTGGGAATGGGGGCTGCTGTTCCTTGTGAGCCTGAAAGGCCAAGTGAGCCTTTTCTTAAGCTTATTTACACTTGGTCGCGGCAGTGGTTGCCAAAGGCTTGCGGCGGGGGGACTGAAACAAGTATCCGATGCTTCCTTTCTGCTGCCGAAAGATGCCGAAAGCATCGTACTCGTTGCCGAAGTTTCATCGGTGCTTCTCCTCGTTTGCATTGGTATCGTTGGCCTTTGGGCTCGCGCTGTGCCTGCACATCGTGGTGGAGTCTGCTGACGGCACCAGTCCAACATAGTCCAACGCTGGCCAACCTTCGCTTTCACGAGCCAGGAGCTGCAGCGTAGGACTATGACGGCAGCATGACACAGACAGAAGCTGCAGAAGAAAGAATGCAACAAGAAACTCTGATTCGACGATGAGTGAAGCAGGTCGATGTACTGGCATAGCCGTGGCCTGGAAGCAGTGCAGTGAATGCTCGTCTTCGTCAGGCTCGGAACGGAGTTCCCGCTGGCCGGCCATGCCGTCGCTGGCAAGACTCCGTGTTGCTCGACTCAATGCCGAAATTTGGCAGCGCCGCGGCCTGACAATAGGGTTCAATGAGAGCATCTTTCGCGGATTTCCGAGGTACAGAGTCTGCCGCTCCGTTTTGCAGATCTGCCAAATCTTTTCACGGCAAAAGACCTGGAATGGCTGGAGCTGCAGGCAGCAAATGGCAGAGCGCGAGATGCATAGGCCTCGGGCGAAGGGCAGCATTGCACACCTCCAGGCATGCCCGCTGATGAGTTCTCAGACTGGCATTGCCTGGAGCTCACAGGTCGAGTCACAAGCCCGTGTGGCAGGTTGATACATGATGATTTCAAGGTATCTGATGCCATTTCGTTCTTGCTTGCTTTCAAAACCATGAGGTTTCTTTCGGGGCCAAAGTTCAGCCTCGCCATTTGAAAGTACTTCGCTGCGGTGTGCAGATGGCCAGATCCACAGCCGAGTCGTGTTGGGTGCAGTGATATGTGCGGCCTTCGTTGCGTTCTTGACATCATCTAGCCAAGGCTTTGACGTTGCTTCTCTCCGTGTGCCTGGAGCGGCTGAGCTTTCTGTACCTGGATCCGCCCACTGACTCGCGCGTGCAGGTGCGCTGAGAGTTTAAACTCGCTAAAAGCAGGTGCGCAGCTTGTCTCGGATTGCGCCGCTGGCGGCATGTAGCAATGGCAGCAATGGGGGGGGTCAGCCTTCCGAAATCTGCACGTGCTGTTGGCAGTCTTGGTTTCATTTTGCAGGACGAGCTTGCAAAGGCTTGTGCGCCTCAGCTCGGCGGCAATGATCCCAATGTGGATGCTACGAGCCAAGCTGCTCACGAAGGTATGCATCGAAAAACGATGAAGTGAATCAGCCCAGCTCAGGCTTGCACAGACCTACAAGCGCAGGCCCATGTCTGAGGTAGCTCTGTGAAGTCCGATATTGTTGACACTGGCGATGCTGTTGCGCAGGCTCAACGGGAGCTGCTTGCTGAGCTGCGGCGAGCATCGCGAACATCAAGGCTGGATGCGTCAAAGGTTCGGAGATGTGGAGAGATTGCTCCGATGCTAGGACACCGGAATCCGGTCTCACGCCTTGGCAGCGACTCCAGAAGTGGATGCAGGTGCGAGTGGGGGCTGAAGTCGGTGTGGAGTCCTATTTGGAAGTCCTGGATCGAGAGCGCATGGAGCATCGGGCGGGCCCCGGCTGATGAACAGGCCTCCGAGAGGAGCACTGATGGTCATGGGCAGGTTCTTTACAGGACAGTCTCTCCGCATCTCTGCACCCATGTGTGTCTGATCTGACGTATGAGCACTTTATCGGTGTCCCTGAAAGGAATCTGCGAGCATCAGTGAGCAAGAGCAGCTCCGTCTAGGATGCAGCTTGAGAGAAAAAGGTTGTCTCGGGCAGCAAGTCCCATGCAGCTCTATCAACTTGAAGGCTTTCCGTCTGCCTCGCTCCGTTGTTACAACAGGCGAGTTTCTGCAACCTGCAGAAAGCTATGTGCACACGTGAACAGCGTGAAGGTACGCTTTGGCCCAAAGGATGGCCGGCCTGGAAGGCGTGAACACCACAAGTTCGGGGCAGCCGATCGGAAAGGAACGCGCGACACTCAACAATAGGGGTGAGATGGCACCTTTTGCGTTTCTCTGCTGCGGTCTTAGGTACTACTATCGCTTCCACAAGCTGATTGGGAAGGCAAACTGGCGAAAATACACGGAACGTGTTCCGGCTGCAAGAGTCACTTCGCCAACATGTGAAATTGCTCTGCGCCTCAGTGGGCGATGCCAGGTTACATCGCCCCGCGGGCGGTGGAGAATCGCCAAAGGCCGTGCAGCTTCGTGAGTCGATTGGTTGCGTCAGATTTGTGTCAGGTGGATTCCAACACCCTGGCCAACTTGGACGCAATCGAAGCATGCTCACTCTTGGAACTGGCGCTTACCCAAGGCCTGCCATCCAATTACAAGCGAATCATCGCTTAAAGAGGTTCAACAACTAAGAACAGTGCTTGCCTGTCTGCACGGCTGCAGGCCTGACACAGGTGTGCAATGGTGCGCACTACATAGACAATTAGTTTGGTAGTCGACCATGGAGGCATATCACGTATGTTCGTATATGTATTTCATTCTGTAGTGTCACTTCATATCTTGTAGCTCCTTTGCACTCTGCGCCGAATATTATAACAGATCGATAGGCCCGATAGACTGGATGTGAGTAAATGACAGGAAATGTTTACATATACAAATACACAAACAAATGTGTGTATATGCATTGCTGCATGTGTGTATATATATATACATATGTATATGAAGGTGTTCATGAATGCATACATAGACATTGTTGCGTTTATTATATGTTGCATTTAAAGACTTTGCAGTATATGCCACTCGACCAATCAGCTGTTTTGTCACAGACAGTAGCTCTCGGTGTCAACGACAAACGAAATTATGATCTGCTGTGGCAATGCTTAAGTGGGACACATGACCTCAAAGCACTGAAGCAAGAGGCTTTATGAACTCATGTCCCGATTCTAACCTTGCACTCATTCTAGTATATCCCGGCCCATGAGACTCGTTGTGAGTCTTTGCCGGTTTAGTCATTTGTCCCGTAGCTCCACAGAGGAGGCTTGCGTGCTCGACCTTCAGTTGTAGACTGTCACACTCGCAGCATGGAACTCGGGTTCAATGCGCAATCCTCGTCACATCGCGTTCATGGTCATCATCATTTGCTTTACCCATGGATTTAGACGAGTTCACAACGAAGCCACAATGCAGAGCCGAGATGTTTGCTTGGAGTTGGCATTGCGCAGGGGTTGGCAGCCGCAACATCTGCCGACGAAGTGCTCGAGGCGTGCTTTCAACGCTCCCAACACTGGCGATGAAAGAAGCCTCTGAAGTACTCGCAAGGTGCTAAACGAGATAGCCGGAAAGAATCCTGAGCCTCGCGATTGGAGCACTCTGCAGGTATGGGTACAGTTCCGACACAAGCACCCGAAGAGGACTTGGGCCAAATGGGTCAGTGCAAAGATACGGCAGACAGGAACGTAGTGAATGAAGTCTGCGGCTTGAGTTTTGCTGTAGGACGTTTCACTATTTCAAAGTCCTGAAGCGGCCCCTGTGCTGCAAAGCCCGCAGCATGGTCAGTTGTCACCTCACAGCCTTGGAGGCTGACAGACGTGGGTGGCTGTGAAAGAACGGATTGGCGCCTGCGCTTCATTACGTGGCTGCCTTAAGGAACTTTGCGGATGTCTGAGGGCTTTTGATTCAGCGCGAGGTCCAGACTTAAAAAAATCCATCGCAAGGCCCGGGCCCAGGCTCAGCAGTCTCAAGTTGCATGCTTTTAGCATGCTCTAGCCAAGGTGCTCAACTTGCCTCGCTTAGCAAAGTACTATGCCGAGCTGAAGTGCATTGATGAGATGGAGCATGCGCGCTTCTGCGAGTCTTCGCTTCAAAGCAGGATTTTCGTCGAAGAGCCGCTTGGAAGGTATCCCGATTTCTCAGGAAGATGCTGCCTAAGCCAAAGCCTTACCAGTAGGGCTTAAGTGAGTAGCTTCTGCGGTCTGTAGGTGTTGTGAGTGAGGTACACGTCGCACCAGCTTGTCCTTGTGGCCCATGCTTTCGCCATTGCCAAACTGCAGGACGACTTAGCTTCGACACCAACATGGCTGAATTGCTGGCTGTTAGTTCTGAACTGGCAGGACAAGCACATGATGGAGGAGGTTGCCAGACTGGTGGAGTTTGCACCACGGATTCGCCTACATACTGTTCGGTCATGTCCTGGCATGTCCTTGGCCAAGGCCGCAGCTCAGCGAAATCACCCCTCTTGAAATGGTTCGACTGGCTCAGGCAGGGACGCAAAGACAACGATGCTCTGTTGTTGTTGTTGTTGTTGTTGTTGTTGTTGTTGTTGTTGTTGTTGTTGTTGTTTGTTGTTGTTTGTTGTTGTTTGTTGTTTGTTGTTGTTTGTTGTTGTTTGTTGTTGTTTGTTGTTGTTTGTTGTTGTTTGTTGTTGTTTGTTGTTGTTTGTTGTTGTTTGTTGTTGTTTATTGTTGTTTGTTGTTGTTTGTTGTTGTTTGTT